GTGGCTGAGGAGGAGGATGAGGAGGAGGAGGACGAGAAGAAGGAGGGGGAGAACGAACAAGAAGAGGAGTTGGAGCAAGCGTAGGAAGAGGAGGAGGCAGGTGAGGAGGAGGAACACGAGGAATATGAGGAGGAGGAGGACGAACAAAAAGAACAGTTGGAGCAAGAGTATGACGAGGTGGAGACAGTGGAGGAGGAGGAGGACGAGGAGGAGGAGGGAGAGGTGGGAGGACCAGGGAGGAGAAACGAGGACGACGAAGTAAGAGGAAGGGTGGGAAGAAGTGGGAGGACGAGAGCAAGGAGCAGAGGAAGAGGAGGAGGAGGAGGAGGAGGATAATGGAGGAGGAGGAGGACAATGGAGGAGGAGGAGGAGGAGGAGGAGGAGGAGGAGGAGGGCGACCTGGAGGACTCGAGGACGAACCCAGGAAGACCCAGGGGGGCAAGATGCGCGGAGCGCGCGGCCCCCGAGCGCGCGTGCGCGGGATCCCGCTTTTGCGGCCGCGCAGGACCCTGGGGCCCTCGCTGGCCGTCTGATGCTGGGCATTGTCCGCCCTCGCGCGGACGGGGAGCGCGGCTGGGGGGATGGTAGGTTGTTGTGTGGGTGGGCGGGAGGGGTGATGGTGGGGGAGGGAGGGGGGGCATGATGGGGAGCGGGAGGAGGAAATGAGGAGGATGATGCTGATGCTGATCTGATTGATGATGATGGTGATGGTGAGGATGATGGTGCTGATGATGATGATGATGATGATGATGATGATGATGATGATGATGATGATGATGATGATGATGATGATGATGATGCTGATGATGATGCGGATGCTGATGCTGATGCTGATGCTGATTCTGACGACGCTGATGATGACGATGATGATGATGATGATGATGATGATGATGATGATGATGATGATGATGATGATGATGATGATGATGATGATGATGATGCTGCTGATGCTCATGCTGATGCTGATGATGATGATGCTGCTGCTGATGATGATGATGATGATGATGATGATGCTGCTGATGATGATGATGATGATGATGATGATGATGATGATGATGATGATGCTGATGCTGATGCTGATGCTGATGCTGCTGCTGATGATGAGGAGGAGTAGGCGGAGGAGGAGAAGGAGGAGGAAGAGGAAGCAATTGAGTACAATAAGTCATCGAATACAGGTGAATGAATGCGATTGCATGTGCTGCGGCTGGGAGGGCGTATGGTGCCGTCCCTTGGTGTCGGGCAGGCCTATGGTGCCTGAGCCCTCGGGGTGGGGAGTGGCGCACCACGGTGCTTTTCCGTCCCACCCGGACGTCCCCGGGCGTCCCCAGGCGGCCCCCCAGGGTTTCCAAGACGGCCCGCCCGGCCCGAAGGGATCCCGAGCTGACCCTGAGAGGTCCCAAGAAAGCCTCAAGAGAGCCCGCGATGGCCCCAGGAGGCGTCAGGAAGGCCCCAGAGAGTCCCGCACACGGGGACTTCGCCCCCCCCCCCCCCCCCCTTATGGTGGGGAGGTGGGCGTGCGGGCCGCCCTCCGCTGACGCCGAGGGGGCGCGTCCGCTCCCAATCGCTCGTGGATCGCTGGCGGGGGCCCGATGGCCCACCCCGCCCAGGAGCGTGCGATTCCGCTGTGGGGGGCTTATCGCCGATCCGTCGGCGATGTGTCGCCGATGCGAGCTCGCTGCTTCCCCCTCTGAGCTGGTCCCTCCCAATGTTGCCTGTTGCCCCTCACCCTCGGTCCTGGTGCTGTGCGTGCCTCGGCGAGGTCCTCATGCTGAACTTCCCCCTTCTCTGCCAGCCCTGCCGCAACGCGCTCTACCGGATGCTGCTGTTCACTGGCATGGTCAGGCGAGCCTCTGCAGTGCAGAGGGAGGCATAGGAGTACGGGCAGGGAAAGGGGGAGGAGGAGGAGGAGGAGGAGGAGGAGGAGGAGGAGGAGGAGGAGGAGGAGGAGGAGGAGGCGCCACCCGCCCGACTTCGTCGGCGGTGGCGTACGTGGCATGTGGCGCGCAGGTAGACTGCTCGTCCAGGTCTGTTCGAGGAAGAGGAAGAGGAAGAGGAGGAGGAGGAGGCCTGAGGACGAAACGCTCTGCTGGAACATCCACTGCCTCCATCTGATGGTCGAGCCGTCCCGCCTCGTCCCAGTCGAGCGCCCCGATCTCCAGCTGGCCGACAGCGCACACCTCCGAGATGCCGCTCTCCTCGACGAGGGCGGACTGCTTGAGCGCCTGATCTCCACCTGTCCGTCCCCAGAAATGCCACGCGCCTCTGTGAAGGGCTGCGAGTCGATCTCCCGCTGATCGCCGACGTGCACCACCGAAATGCCGCTCTTCTTGATGAGCTCGCCGAGGTTCCTCCTGAACGCAGCGATCGAGACGTCAACCCCGCCCGCTGCGAGCATCGAGTTCTCGGCGGCGGCTGCAGCGCTCTGCAGGTGCGCACGACCAGAACCCTGCTCACTGGCCTCTCCTCCCCCACGCTGCGACCGCCCCACGGACGGGAGCGAGTGGAGGCTTTCTGCCCAGGAGTAGGGGAACAAAAAGTGGCATAAATATAAAAGCTCGGAGGTCCGCGCAGATTTCTCGGATCGGCGCTGGACCCCCCTCCCTGGCGCGCGGAGCGCGCCAGGGGCGGCGCCGGAGGCGCCGCCGGGGGGGCCCAGCGCCGATCCGAGAAATCCGCGCGGACCTCCGAGCTTTTTTATGTTTATGTCACTCTTTGTTCCCCTACCCCTATTGTTTATATTGTCAGTTTTCAGTTTTATGCTTTGTCAGTTCTTATGCTTGTGTTGATGCTTTGTCAGTTTCATGCTTGGTCAGCTCTTATGTTTATGCCACTCTCTGCTCCCCCAAGGCGTGGCCTCCGACCGAGGGCGAGCCGGGCTCGGGCGGCGCCTCCGCACCTCTCTGGGCGCCACCGCCCCCGAGGCAGCGGCGCCCGGCAGCGCGTGCGCGCCCGCGAGATTCGCCTCCGCAGCCGGGCATCGCCGGCGCGCGGCCTCGGCGCTCCGCGGGGCTTCGCCGGCCCGCCGCAGGAGGCGCCGGGCCGCCGGCCTCCCGCGCGCGCCGCGGGCGCCCGCCGCGGGCGCCATCCCGCGGCAGGCCCAGGAGCCGACCGCCTCGCCCAGGGACCTGGCATCGCTCGGACGTGTAGCGAGGGCCACGGAGGAGGGCGAGGTTTCGCTCGGACGTGTGCACGTTTGCGGTGGCGAGGGCCACGGAGGAGCAGCCTTGAGCACGGGGCGAGAAAAGGCCACGCACGAAGACAAAAAAAAACACGGGGAATGGACGTCCGAGCGATGGCCAGGGGGTGCGGAGGGGCTGCCAGTCCATGCCGCTCAACCAGCTCGCAGCTTCCGCCTCGCCTCGTCCTCGTCCTCGTCGTCGTCGTCGTCGTCGTCGTCGTCGTCGTCGTCGTCGTCGTCGTCGTCGTCGTCTTCGTCGTCGTCGTCGTCGTCGTCGTCGTCGTCGTCGTCGTCGTCGTCGTCGTCACTTGAAGCTACGTCCGCGGCGTGGTGGGCTGCGGGGTAGCATGTCAGATGTGGAGCAGGACCACTCATAACGTCCGAACGTTTGCGCCCTCCCTTGTCCTCCTCCTCCCTCCTGCTCGCCCCTCTGCTCCTCTTCAGGCCACCCGACCCGACGACCAGTTTGTCTTGTTCTCGAGCCGCTGGCCCCTAAAGATCTCTGCCGTGTCTCCTGGGCCGGCATCTTTCAGGAGGGGAAAAAACATACAATTCATCGTCGATTCCCCAGGAAAATATAGGAAAATATGGGAAGTGGGGGGGAAGACGCCCCCCCCCCCCCAAAAATACAGGGAAAAATGGGGAATCCTGTTATTAGTGTGTATTCAATTGTGTGTCCCTGGGCCCCTTTAATCCTCAGGTTCTGCACCCTGGCTCGTTTTCATCAGATCTGACCTGCGGGGGGTGGGATTCACATGTGCCGGCCGCGCGCAGGGCGGGGTATGGGGGAGGGGGGAAGGCTTCTTGGAAGCCTTCCCCCCTCCCCCTACCCCCTTGTGCGCGCCGCCAAATGTGGTCGGCCCAACAGTTCGGGGGAGCGCTGTCTAGGACCTCGTGTCTTCGTCAGGCCTGCTGTGACACTGCAGTGAGCTGGCCTGGCCTCACTGCGGCTGCCATGGGGACAGCACCACCCACCCCCAATCCCCGAATGCCATGCGCCAAGCCAGGGACCCCTGGACCACCAGGTCGGGAGTGGGGGTCCTGGCTGGGGGTGGCGATAGCCTGTGCTGGCCTGAGGCCAGTGTTTTATTCCTGCCTGCAACCGTTGGTGCGCCCGCGCGGTGAATCATGCAGGCCGATGCTGCCGGGGACCTCGTGTGGCCTGCCGGCCCGCTCCTCGCGTCGGAGCGCGCGGAGCCGGGGCTCGACGGCGTGGTACGCTCTGCTTCGCCGTGCTGCTCCCCTGTGTGCGTCTCTGGCCTCCGGGATACCTCTGTTCTGGGCGCCGAGGGACTTTCGAGCCCCTCCAAGTGATGAGCACCGCCATAGATGTGCACTCGAGGAACTTGGCGAATGTTGGCACAGTCTGACTCGTGTTCATGACTCGTGGCTCCCTCGTTCTAGGCCTCTCAACTGGGGTCCGAGTAGGCGGGGTCGCTGGATCGCTCCGCATCGCCGATGCATCGACGATCCGGCTCGATGTGGAGCCAGAACTTCCCCACGCCGATGGCGCCGATTGTGATCCTCCGATCCCATCTGCTCGGAGCCCATCCTGGAGGCCTCTTCTTCTGCTCCTCCCCCACGTCGCCCCCCGCAGCTGCCGCCCGTCTCCCGGTCCTACTTGTGTCCTCCTGCAGTGCGCCGCGCGTCAGCCTGGGCGCGCGGGCTCGCGGGGGCGCATCGAGCTCCTCCCCCAGCGCATGTTGGGCGAGGGTCCCGGCGCAGCGTGCAGGAGGAGGAGGAGGAGGAGGAGGAGGAGGAGGAGGAGGAGGAGGAGGAGGAGGAGGACGAGGAGGAGGAGGAGGAGGAGGAGGAGGAAGAGGAGGAGGAGGAGGAGGAGGAGGAGGAGGAGGAGGAGGAGGAGGAGGAGGAGGAGGAATTTGGCACCATCGTCCTGCCGATCGCCGAGCGGTGCCTCCGCTCAGGCTGCAGACGCGGTGCGCGGTCGCCGCCGCTGCGAGCAGCACGTCTCGCGGTGGTGTGCTGCTCTGTTCTGTGATGTGACTTGGTGTGTTGCGCTATGCTGCGCCACACGTCAAGGTCATAAAAAACGCCCCTACCCTGGTTTACGAGGCGCTGTGCGCTGAAACTCCTGTGGGTTGACAGGGTCATCCCTGCGTGATGTGCCGCGTCCGGGCGGCTCTAGGCTTTGGGGGTTCCCAGGAGGTTTACAGACCACGCGCTTGTAACCCAGGGTAGGGTCGTTTTTTCATTCCTCAAACACGATGCCCAGCGGGCTCGGAGCGGTGGTAAGCTGTGGGGTGATGTGAGCGTGCCGTTGTCGGCTCCGCGCTGGTCGTCATGCAACATGTCCACTCTCTGCACGGTGTGGCACGTGATCAGCTCTGGCACTGCTATGCTGCGCTGCGCCATGCAGCGCCGGCCGCTCTGTCGGCTGATCGGGAGCCTCTGTAGCAAGAAGAAGGGGCGTGTGCTCGTGGGCCAACGGAGAATGCGTGGGAGGCGGTGGTGCGGCGGGTGAGGATTGCGCCCAGGCGAGAGGAGACTGGGCGTGTGCGTGCGAGCGATTTCCGTCGCCCTCCTGCCTTCGCCGGGCGTCCCTCCTCTCTCCCCCGCGCATTGCGGCCTAATTCGCATTCGTATGCCCTGCCAATGCTCTTCCGCCAGCGCAGCCATTCTGCCCAGCCGCCACAAAGCGTGTGAGCGAGCGGGAGCCCCAGCTTGGGACACGCCCGTGCCGACTTCTGCGAGGATGTCTCGAGCGAGAGTTCCAGACCGGGACACGCTTCGGTGCGCCCCGGTAGGCTCTCGCGCGCCAGGGGTCGACTTTGGGAGGATGCCTCGAGCGAGAGCTGTGAATACGAACGTCCTGGCCCCTGCGATCGCCGTCTCTGCGCTGCGGCGTGCTTGCGGGGTAACCACGTAGAGGGCAGTTTTTCCCAGTGGCACTTGTCTCGAGAGGGCTTGCCCACAGGCTATCTCTCTTTCTCGCTGCATCGAAGGCTTCGAAGGAATGGATGAGACACGCCCAGCGCGCCCCGGCGCGCCGCAGCGCGCGCCGGCAGATCCTTGGAAGTGGTCCCTGGGGGCGCTGGCCTGACTTCCTTGAAGGGGCCCCAGGACACACAAATAAATACACAAATAACAAGATTCCCCATATTTCCCCATATTTTCTGGGTTTTGGTCTTCCCCCCACTTCCCATATTTTCCCATATATAACTATTTACCTGGGAATCGACGATTAATTGTGTCTGTGTGTTTTTTCCTCTCCTGATTCCTCGCGCGCCGGGGGTCGACTTCGGGAGGACGTCTCGAGCGAGAGCCCCGGGTGGCACACGCCCGGTGCGCCCGGGCGCGCGCCCCAGTGCGCGAGGCTCGGGAGGCCCGTTTTTGGAGGATCTCCCACGCGAGGGCGCCGGTTTGGAAGCCGTCGCAGGATGTCTCGGACGTCCCGCAGACGGAACGTCGCAGGGTTTCTCGGACTTCCCGCAAGCGGAACGAGGGGGGCTTCGGAAGGCTTCCTTGGGAGGGAGGCCCAGGCCTCTCCGGGCCACCGATCCTGAGACGCTCTGGCTCCACCTCGCGGCCGCTGGCGGCCGTGAGCCTTCGGACCCGTCGTGTTTTTGTGCTTTTTATGGTACCCCATTCCATATTCCATGCTCCTCCTCCTCCTCCTCCTCCTCCTCCTCCTCCCTCGCTCTCC